TACAGAAATGTATCCTGGATGGGTAAGATTAGAAACTATTGTATGAGGACTAGGAGATAAGAAGCCCTGGGGGTCATGGGAGGAGTTACCTTGTTCTTTGACATCCCAAGACTAGCATTAGTGCCAATAGTAGAGGTTTGCTGAATGATTTACAGGTCAGCCTAAGATAGAGAAGAAATTCCAAAAGTTGGATTGGTGCTAGGAAGCAACATGATCACTTGGAAGAAGATGCTAGAGGAGGCCAGGTATAGAAAGCTTGACTATTCATCAGGATGTGAAGGAGGGGAATCAAGTGCTGGTTAGGACTAGTATTTCTCAAATTTTAATGTGTAGTAGAATCATGTGGGGATCTTGTTAATGCAGATTCTGATACAGTAGGTCTGGAGTGGGGCCTGAGATTCTGCATTGCCAACAAGCTCCCAGATAATGCTCATGCTGCTCGTCCAAAAAAGACATTTTTGAGTAGCAAGGGTTAGGCAATCTTTAAAGGACATTTCAAGAGTCCACGATCCCATGAAGGGCAATGTTTCCTCCATGTGCTTATGAAAGTCCTTCTGATGCTACTGAGAATAGGGTACTGTCATGACATCACGGAAGTAAACCTGAACCTTGTTCTCAAAAGGAAACAGTGGATTGCTGAACTGACAGTGTTGAGAATTAAGGTTCCAAATCCTGGGAGTTTCCTACTCAACTCCACTGCCCTTGCCTTAATAATGTGCATTCCTCCCTCCTTCCCTCCCTTGCAGGGTTTGTAGAGGTGACCTATGCTGTTTCAGGTGTTCTCATTAGTCCTTATGTCTTGCCTAAACCAAGAGGATTTCGGAACTTGCTGACCCAGGGAGTTCTACATGTCTAAGCACACAGCTGCTAGAGTCCTTAAACACCTGAGCTAAGCAGCTACTCAGAGACAATTAGTCCACCTCTCTTCATCTTACAAATAGGGAAACTGAAGTTCAAAAAGGCCAAGCTACCCAATCAAGGCCACACAGCAGGCAAGAGGGTAACAGCCATGTCTTGTGACTTCCAGGCTAGTTTTTCGTGGAAAGGGCCCTTGCAGTATGACCTTGCACAAGCTACAGGAGTCACAGGACCTCAATTTTCCCACCTGAAAAATGAAGATGGCACTACCTGCCCAAAAGGTACTTTCCAGATTAACTGAGAAAATCACAAACAATATATCCTGAACATTCTCAAAATTTACACAGATTGTAAATATTGACTCAATCGACATCTCACCAAATCACCTTGATATAGGACTCACATTTTACTATTTAGGTTAAAAAGGTTTCTAATAATAGGTCTGAGACTTTATAGGGTGGAAAACTTGTTTCAGTCCTAAAATCACAGAGTATTCTCTGGATTCCTTAAAATCCTACCCACAAACCTTAATAAAAATTGTGGTTAATTTCAAGTGATTTAGGAGTGTCTGAGGTCCATCCATGGAATTTCATGAGAGAGCAGATTAAAAAACTTCAGATTATTTGAACTGTTACCAAATGTTTATCGACACCTACTCTGTGCAAGGC